ATAAAATCATTGCACATGAGGTGCTTACCAATGGATCTGATGTCTTATAAACACTTGATCGACGACTGCCCTAGTGGCTCATGGAGAGGACAGAGTCAAGGGAAAGGCCCAGGTTTCTGGACAGGGCAGTTGACTAAGAGCGGGGACACAGAAATAGGTTAGAAATGAAGATGACACATGCAATGAGTGTGAGGTACCAATGGAGACATCAAGCAGAGGGTTGACTGCAGGGTCTGATGCTAAGCAGAGTGTGGGCAGAGATATAGAGTTAGTCATTAGCATTCCCATTAGGATCCTAACGGAAGCCAAGGACTTTTTGCCCTAGCAAAAGAATGAAAACTGAGATAAGAAGGGGCCTATGACAAAAACCCTAGAAGCACCAATATTAGAAATATAGAAGAAGATGAAGCCAGAGGGAAAGACAGATCTAGGAGAATGTGATATCAGGAAGACTGAGGAAGACAGTATTTTAAAAAGGGGGAGGGAAAATAGTATTAAATACTGGGCAGTTATCAGGAACTGATGGCATTCTGAGGTATGATGGTAGAGAAGGTCAAAGAGTGGAAGTTTGTCTATGATATGGAGGAATAATCTGGGTGTGTGGTTAAGGAAAATGTGAAGAAGGGCAAGGAGTGAGGATGTTTAGGACCTGCAGAAAAGAAGTGATCAGAATCAGTGGAACACACCAGACAATGCAGAAAAACTTCACAGCATGTTCCTGACACAGTGGGAGAAAGAGCTAGAAATTTCTTTAATAGTTGTACTTTGTATTTTTGTATTTCATCTTGACACTACTTTACCAGGTTATAGTTTTCTAGGAAATCATCTAATTAATCTAAGTATTCAACTGGTTTGGCCTATTACTTATCCTTTATTGTTATTGCATAACATGATGTCTTCAGATTCCATCCATTTTCCTGCAAAGGACGGGATTTCATTCCACTTTACAGATGAGTAATATGCCATCATGTATATATGCAATATTTTCTTTTCTTCCCATTTTCTGCCCTTCAAAAAGAGTTTAATAAATAACAGTTGGGATATAACCGGATCATTGATAAGACTAGGATTGGTATTAAAAGACACATGAGTAAATGAAAATGTATTTCATGGTAAATCTCTCCCCAAGGTTACCACACTAGGTATTTTCATCAGTGCCTTCTCCTATTTTTCATCTAGTTTTCAGACCAATTGTCTTGACTTCTCATTCTCTTTGCCTTCTTGGCAAACCTATCTGCCTTCAAGGTCTCAGCCAGCCTCCTCATTTTCTATACCTCCACATCTGTCTCTGGGTACAGACATATGGAGGCATCTGGATTACTATAGAAAGACGGTGAAAGACAAAGACCTCCTGGGATCGTCATTCTCCAGTATGGAGAATGGACAGGGGTGAACTCTGGGCAAGTGTGCAGATCCTCAGCACCAGCTCAGTCCAAGGATTCTCCCTGCATACTTAATACAATTATTTCCAATGCTTTTGCAAAATCCAGTGGACTTAAACGTTCTTCACTGCCATGGACCTGGAGTTCCTGCAGTGTCCTGAATGAACAGAGTTGCAGGGACATCGCTGACTTCTCCTCCCATCGTCTGCTGAACTCATTGCCAGGGTGGGAAGTTATGCTAGTCACCAGCATCTAGAAGATTCAGCTTGTCATTCTCACAGGGAGTGCAGAACTTATATCAGCTTTCTTCTTGGCCTTGATCACATGGACTCTATACAGTCTGAGGTATCATGTTTCTTTTGAGCTTCCCCAGGAAAGATTAGTTAGGAAAAGTCATTATTTGTAGGCTCCCTCATGGTCATAGAGTTCCCTCCACTGACTTCACTCCTGAAATGCAAATAGGCCGAGGCTTGCTAAAAAATGCCTATAGCATATTTTCTTCATTCATTGTTAATGGGAACCAAAGCTGATTCCATAACATGGCTATTGTTAATGGTCACAATAACATGTGTACACAGGTATGTCCTTTGTATAATGATTTCATTTCCTTCCAAATATACCCAGGAATGGCAGAGGTGGATCATATGGTAGATCTATTTTTATTTTTGAGGAACCTCAAAACTGTTTTCCTTAGTAGATGTACTGATTGACATTCCCTACAATGATTTTCCCAAAACCTTACCAACATTTGTTTTATTTTTTATTTCTTTGTTTTTGTTGCTGTTGTTGATGATGATGATATAATAGCCATTCTGCCCAAGCTCAACGGGCCAAGTAACTGTGGACTGAACCCTCTGAAACCAAGAGCCAAAATATAACCTTCCTCCTTTAACTTCTTTACGTAAGGTATTCTGTCAAAGTGATGACAGTCTGACTAGCACACTGCCCAAATCTTTCTTTCAAGTCACCTGTTTCATGGAGCCCTTCTGTATACAAAATGTTGGAAATGAGATCTCCCACAAGCAACATCTTCAAACCTCTTGTAAATCACTAAAGCCCCTGCCACAAACTGCCCATGTTGAGTCATGTTTTTCCCTCAAGAGAAGCCAACACAAGGTCAACAAAGAACCTCCAACTCCAATCCTCCCATGCTAACCCCATTCACACACAATTCAGCATCCAGATTGCATCCTAAATCTGTCCTCTGGAGTATGATCAATGCTTCTCTATAGTCCCCATGCCTGGGCTCCTACTCTCCAAATGACACAACAGCAAAAGAGCAGAAGAGGTGGGCACTTGCCTCCAGCATAGTCAGAGTTTTCTTGGGAAGTATCCTGGAGGAACCCTGCTCAGGAGTCATATCAATGACATAGGAAGAGCAATCTCTTGGGAGGTATGAGGATCCTGAGGTTAAAGGCAACTTGGGAGGTGAAAAAGAAGTAACATGACTATGTGTGTCCAGCAAGATGTGGCTACAGAAGTCAGGCTGATGTACATGCAGTGGGAGATGGACTGGAGGGAATGTGGAGGACATAAGTGTCTCCATCAATCAGGCTCAGAGTGCAGAATCTTCTGTTTCCTCCAATTAAATGATCATCATGGCCTGGCCTTGGTTACAAATTTCACTATAGACAGTAGTGACAGGTCCCTCTTCTTCCAGATGTTGTTCACCAGTACCCTGAGAATGTAAGACAGAGGGTGCTTGTAGGAGCTGAGAAATGGAGTGTCCACAGAAGGACCAGAATACAATCAAAACCAATTGATGTTAATTGCTATGAATCACCCAAACCACCCAGGACTATACTGGTCAATTATACATTATCTTACTTAATACTGTTGACATTAAAAAAACAAGATAAAGAAACGTGGAGACAGAAACAGCAGATGCCTGAGTTTGAAAAACCAGTTCTGGGTAGTTGGACACCAGTAAGCCATACCTCCAGCTCTCACCTTGTTCTTGGCCTCCTGAGACTCCTGCTCCATCAGCTGTGCATAGTGGATGCTGTCTTCATTGACCCTCTGGTCCTCCTGCAATCCTGCACCTGAGGCATTCACAGAGTGGAACTTGGATCTGTGCCTGGGAAACCTCTCACCCTCCACAATCCCGTAAACCCAAGGCCATGGTTATGCCCACCATTCCCACTACAGAGCCAATTTCCTGGCAGTAAAATGCAGGATAAATGGAGGTAAGGGACCAGGGGGAGAGAGCATGTATCTGGGCTCAGAAGGGGAAGTGCAACCTGCCTCTTCCCATCTCCACTTTCTTCTTCTCACGTGTCTTCCAAAGGTACAGTCCAGTTCCCAGGATCAAGAGCACAGCCACACAGCCCCCGAGGATGCCTACTAAGAGGCTTGTTGTGGACTGTTGATATGTGTCTGTTTTCCTCAAAATTAGAGAATGAAAAAAGATTAAGGCAGGAGGAACCTGAAACAGCTAATACTAAAGGGAAATAGAGAAAAGTTAGAAGACCTTGCTTAGAAGCTAAAGGAATAGTATAGATGATTCACTTGAATGTGGAGCTGTGGATATTGAGATGAACGAGGTAGGGTCTGTGTCCTTGAGGAGTGCACCTGAAGGGAAGATATAAAATACTAACTGCCAGACAAAGAGATCTCACGGCCCTAGATGTTAACCTTCCACAGATCTTCAGGAAGGACCTCTTAGAAGTGGTGTGGGGTACACTGAGTCATGGGGAGGAGTAGGAGTTTCTAAGATATTCATGGTAGAGCTAGCATTACAGCAGGGGAGAGTCAGGGCACAGAGGACCTGTAGGTGGTGAGGGTAAAAAGGAGACAAGAGCTGAGTCCAAAAGGTCCTGTAGGCCTTGCTAGATGGTAAACTTTCCCTGAGACTTCAAGACAGAAAGAGGGATCAGGATGTGACAACAGGTTATGATTGACACCTACATGTCAGATCCCTCCAGCAGTTCCTAAGGGATGGTTAAGGAGCATAAGCTGAAACAGGGTCCCAGGACATTCATTCATTCAATGAAAGAACAATTGTGAGTGAACTCAGGCAAGAAGGTATGCTTAATGCTAGGAATCTCTCTGTATAGCTGTCCTTATCTCAACTAGCAAAAACGCTATGTCTTTCTTATTATTGCTTATATCTACTCTTCAAAAAAACTGGAGAAAAGGGCAGAACAGGTTCTGCCTTGAAGAAAGAGGGGAGGGGAGGAGAAGGAGAAGGTAGGGAGCAGGGGGGAGAAATGGCCCAAACAATATATGCACATATGAATAAATGAATAAAGAGGGGAAAAGAAGGTATGCTTAGCACAAGAATTCAAGGGAAAAAGAGATGTGGCTCTTGTGACTCATGTGTTCCAGTCTACAGAGGAATAAAATATATAAATAAATCAAAATTACTCAGTATATGGGATGAGACATGGACAGCTCCTTACAAGAGGAGATGCTTTACAATGGCAGCATACATACATTCAGGTAACTACATCAAACTGTTCTGTGACATTTCCACATGAGACTAACAGCACAAGCAGAGGAAATTCTAAGTCCTATAGAAAGCAATTGTAAGTCAGATCACAGAGACAACACAGACAAGTGACACAGTCTATCCACTAGTCCAAAGACTATTCTGAGCTCACAATGTATGATGGATGGAATAAGGCAGGTTCTAGAAGGCTACTATCTGGACCAGCAGGGAATGGTATGGACTTGAGAGGGACATTTAAAGGCCAGTGTGAGATGGATGTACCTCCAGAACTTCTACATCGGGTGATCAGGTGAACGTGGTGGTGCCATTAAACATGGCAGGGAGAAAAGCCCAGAGACCTCAGTCTCCTGTGCTACCTTAGCTCCATGTTGCCCCTCCCCTCCAGCAGGTGGCACTCACCTTGGGCACAAATGTTGCCAAGCTCTAAGGTGGCATTTTTCTGGTCCACATAGTTGCTGACCACACAGGTGAGGCTGGCATGCAGATGGCTGTGGGGCAGCCTCACAGTTAATGTCCAGGGGTTGGGAGCTGGTCCTGGTGTCCCTCTCTGCTCCAGCTCCCTGGGAAGACCCTTGCTCTTCCAGGTCACATTCAGGTGCTCTGAGGTCCCTGTGACATTACATTCCAGGGTGACATTGCACCAGTCAGGAGTGATTGATATTGAGTTGTTCTGGATCTGAGGAGGGGGCACAGGTTCTAGGGAAGGGCAGAACAAAGAATGGAGCCTCATATGTGTGGAGCACATTTCATGTCACACATTCTCATCCAGTATTTCCCTGAAGCACAGGCAACAGCCCTAAATGAAGTTAGGAGCACTTCACAAATAAAACATTTTGCTTAAGGTAAAATATTAAGCAAGTGACAGTAGCCACTACGTTAAGCCTTATGTGATTTCAAAGCAAACCTTAAAAGTTTCCCATGACATAATGATGTCTGAATCCCACACTCCAGGGACCAATTATTTGGAAGAAATTACAGTCTTTTCTAGAAAAGGAAGAAGTCTGGGGCAGAAGAGCACGTCCTGATTCAAGGTCCTTGCCCTGCGTCTCCAGCTGTGGCAATGCCTGGAACTGCACTGCCCTTTTTAGACAGAAAATCAGAGCAGAGGCCAGAGAAAAGCTCCACACTCTCAACAGTAGAGGCCTGTGTGGAAGATGTAGTGGTAGGGACCATCGGTGATATTTTTGCATGTGGTGACACATGTCCTGGGTTTCTGGTACAGATAGAAGGAGAGCAACTAGATTCACAAGCCAGTCTTAGAAATCACATGGGACCTAGAGTTGCAAAAGCTGCTCTCTTTATACCAGGGTACTGTGCTATGCGGAGAGGAACTTTGGAGAATGAATGAGCTGGCAAAAAGGATTTCCTAAGTACAGCAGTGAGCTTTCTCCTTCATCTGTCAAGGCTTGGACAGCTGGATTTGTGGAGTCCTGTGTTAGGATAATAGTGACCCCACTCATGTCCACATCATACTCCTCAGGACCTGAGAACATGCTAGGTTACATGGCAACGAGTGGACCATAAAATAGGGAAATTATTCTGAATTATCAGAATTTGCTCAGTGTAATCCCAAGGATGATTGATAGTAGAAGAAGAAAAAAAAAAGAGCATATATGAGGAATGCAATGTAAGGACTCAACTCTCACCCTTGCTGGTTTAGGTAGACATGGGAACCACAAGCTAATGAATGCTGGTAGCCAAAAGAAGGGGAAAAGGCCAGAAAACTGATATTTCCATGGAGCTTGCACAAAGAAACACAGCACGGTCAACACTTGGATATTTGCCCAAAGAGACTCATGCTAATTTATAACCTACACACAATAAGATAATACATTTGTGTTGTTTTAGCCACTAATTTGTGTTAATTTGTTTAAAAAGAAATAGGAAAAACGTAGAGAAAGTTAAACATATAAAAATAGTTGTTATCACAAAAAAATCCCAGATTGTCATTTTCCTCTCCCAACACACTAAATAGATTTTCTCCCTGGTATAACTCTCTGCTCTGTTCTCTATTTGTATTGAACACACCCTGTTTGCAGGTCAGAAAATACATAGCTGGGACAGGTATTCGAATAGTGTCCTGAGTGTGGCCTATGAAACTCTTAGGTTCAAAAGAATGGGGCATACTATGTAACTATAGTGAGATAGTGACATTTACCATAAATATTGAGGTGAAAAAATTGGTCAGATCCTTTTCCATTAGTTAATGTAATCTGAGCCTTGTATGGCCCACTGTCCTGTAAGATCAAGTTCTCAATCCTCAGCGATGTCATGTTGGGCACATGGACCCTCTGTTTGTACTTGTCCTGCAGGCTGACCCAATCCGGGGTCTCTGACCCACGGTGCATTTTTAGCATGATGCTGTAGTCTGAGCCAGGACCAAAGCTCCAAGTGATCTCCTGCACATCAGCTTCTGCTGTCTCCTTGGTCACATGGAACAGGACTGAACCTCCTCGGATCCCCTTCAGATGAATGGTGGTTCCAGGATCCTTAACTACAGAATCATGAGCTCCAGAACTCTTGGCTAAAGAACTGTAAATACCTATGGCATTGGAAAAGGAAACATGAGTATTTCCTCAATGACAACAAATGAAAAAACACAGAATAAAGCATTCATGTTATGAGCTCTCCTGTGGAGAAACCCTTAGGGTCAGGACAACCAATATTTCACCTTGATTATAGGAAGGTAATCTAGAACTGTGGATTGGAAGCTATTCTAGGATCATGTCCTGGTTGTAGAGCAGTGTAACCTAAAATGGGTTAACTTATGGTGCTAGTCTTCAGTTTTCTTGCCTGCTTCAGGTGGTATGAAGATAATGAGATCAAGGATCAAAGCATCAGGCACATTGCAAGGCCTATGCTAAGTACATAAGTGTGGAAGGCAGCTTCAACAGTGGTTCCTAAAGAACCCCTTGCTTGTGTTCACCCTGTGTGAAATCCCCTCTCTTGGGGTGTGGGAGGCCCCCAATACTGGTTTCTGGTGAGTAAAATGTAGCAAAAGTGATGGCGTATCACTTAATATAACTACAGGATACAAGACTATGACTGTCTCCTGGTTCATACTTGCTCCCTCCCCTTCAATGTCTCTCCTATTCTCTGATGAAGCCAGCTGCCATATTGTGATCTTCCTCATGGAAATTTCCATGTGGCAATGTATTGAGCTCAGCCTTTAGCCATTAGCCAGTGAAGGACCGAGGCCTTCCATTCAGCAGCCAGAAAGAATCATATCCTGTTAATAGTCCCATGACTGAGCTTGAAGTCCCAGCAGAGACTTGAGAAGACAGAAACCAGTCAATGTAAGAGGTCTCAGTCTAGAATTCCCTGGGCCAGAAGACCCAGCTGACCCACACCTGGATGCTAAATCCCAGAAACTCAGAGACAAAACAATGTTAGCTTAAGATAGTAATTATGGACAACACGTTACTCAGCACAGATAGCTAAGATAATAACAATGTGCTTTCCATTCCCCTCACTTCTAGAAAGTGTATTAGTCAAGATAGGCCAGGATGTGCTGTGATGACAATAACAAAACTCAGGTCCTTAAAACAGGGAAGTCACATCTCATATGAAGCACCCTATAAGAACAAGTGAGCAAACCAAATTCAACAACATATCTAAAAGATATGTTCACCTCTTACACTGTTGGTGGGAATGTAAACTAGTACAACCACTCTGGAAAAAAATTTGGAGGCTACTTAAAAAGCTAGACATTGATCTACCATTTG